TTATTAACATGGGGAGACACTGAAATGTGCCGATGTCCACAGTGTGCTTTTGGGCTGGAAGCTGCGTGCTTGGGGGCTGAGCCTGGGGGGCTGTGTCGGGGCAGGCAGGGACTCCCGGGAGCAGGCAGCCGGCCACGTGACCACACTTCTAGAAAGGCCCCCCCAAGACGGGCAAGTTAATTGCTTGGCTGCTGTCCCGAGGAAGTGATGCGAAACACAAAAATATATATTTGTAGCAAAATAATTAGAAGAAACCCAAGTGCCTGAACATGGGGAATGTTTAAGTAACCTGTGGTTTATCCACTCGAAAGAATATTACAGCCATTAAAAACTAATGTTCGCTAAGAGTCTGTGCGGAGACCTCGTGCAGGGAAGGAAAGGCAGGATCCTAACAAGACACGATGCGACGCGTTCCAACAGGGAAATGAGGAAATTGGGGCCTGTCAGAGGGGTTGTGAAACAAAGTGCCTTAACCAACGGGCGGGGACCGGCCTGCGGGGACGGCCGGTGTGAGCCCGCCCAGCTGTGCAGTGGGTGCAGGCAGAGCTGCTTTGCTGGCTCCGGCTGTCCCCCAGTGTCTCTCACCCAGACGGCTCTGCTCTCCACAGGACTCACACACGTTTCTGCAAGAGCCCGGCTAGCTGCAAAAGAAATGGCTTGTGGGTGACGATGCCGCGTGACCCAGGACTTCCCTGCTCTTCCTAAGTTGTGAGAAATAATTGACAGTGGGGGGATGCGGGCTTGCTGGCAGCACCCTGTTGTGCTCCCCCAGCCCCGGCCCCTCCCTGGGGTGGGGCAGGCAAGGTAGGTGCGAACTGGCCTCCTAAATCCATTTAGGGAAGGTGTTGGCCGCTGGGGACAACACGGAGCAGAACATGCCCGCCACATTCACAGTGGCATGCCTTGAGTCACACGTGTGTGCGGCGAACGTGACAGATATTTGTGTAAAAGGCTCTTCCCCGTGGCGCCGGCCCGGGAGTAGCTAGATTTCACATTAACTCCTCTGTCATATCTGGAAGGTCAGCAGGAGTCTCTTTTGTGCCTCTGGTCCCAGCTTAATTATTGGTCAAGTCCTGGTTTGGGTGAGAAGTTTCAGAGTCCTTCCTGCTCTCCGAGGGGACGGTCATGGGCTGGGTGGTGGCTGGTCTCAGATGCTCCTGGATGCCCCACTCAGCACTCAGAACCCAGGGAAGACTGAGGTCTGTGGGCCTCTGAAAAATCCAAGTCCACGGACAGCAATGAACAGGTCACTCTAGGGCCCTGGGCTGCTCCCCACGTGATCCCCTAGAGACCTGGACAGTAACCCGGAGGCCTTGGGGAAGCACATCTCAGGCCACCCCCTGCATATGTGGCCACAGCCTGCACAGGGCCAGGATCCTGACAGTAGCTGTGGGGTCCTGGCTTTGCTGGGTGGCTTGGGCAGGGACAGGCCTTTTAAGATGGGCCACACCGGGCCCTCCCCACTGGCCACAGGAGGCTATACTGCTGCTTCCCACCACCAACCCCCGCCCTGTGGGGCTGGTCACATGGATTTGTCTCCTGCCTCTGGGCGAGGGAGTACCCTATTTTCCCTGGCTTTCCCAGGGGTGACTCCCACCCTCCAGTGAGGCCCCCAGTGAGCAGGTCTGCTGTGGGGTGGGGTTGGCCTGCACCCCACCTCAGCTGTGCAAGTCCTCCAGCCGTGGAGGTGGTCTGTGGCCAGGCCACGTGTTGGGAGAGCGTGTGCTACCTAGGCTGGCCAGGCAGAGCGCTGGGGCCTACGCGGAGGGGCGAGGTACGTCCGCAGGCCTCTGGGATCTCTGGGGTTCCCCACGGGCCGAGGTCTCCTCTCAGCCTCAGGAGTTGCTGTGAGCAGTGGGCCCCAGCGCCTCGGGGCTCAGGAGGCCCCTCTGATGTGAGCCTGCTCTAGGAGCAAAGTCTGGGTTTCAGGATTCTAGGGGACCAGGTGTGGGGAGCTCCAGTAGCCTCCCGGGGGACTCTGGCTCCATCCTGGTCTGGAAGGTTCTTCTTTACCCTCATGTCGTCGCAGATGCACCACGGGGCTCCCACACTGAGTCAGCTCTGGACAGGTGTCAGGTGGAAAGAATGAGGGTCCCCCCACTGAAGAGGAGGGAGACGGGGACACTACGGGTCCTGCTCAGAGTGATGTCACTGGAGAGAGAGCACTGTGGCCAGACTGCCCACTCCACCTATGAACCTGCCAAACCTAGGGCCAGTGACCAAGTCCCTGTGGCTCAGTCTCTCCAATGGCAAGTGGGGCGGGGCGGCCAGCTGTCCCCTGGATGACAGTGATGCGGGAAGAGTGGCAGCCCTGCATCAGGCAAGGCGTGCTGAGGATCTCTGACTGAGGGGGAGAGTGGGGGCTGCAGGCCTGCCCAGGGAGCGGCAGCCAGCCTGGGGCGCTCTGGAACGTTCTGGAATAGCTGGCCTGTGTAAATGTGGGAGTTAGGGAGTTACTGAAGAGGAGGGGGAGCTGGTGGTGGCAGGAGCAGGGTGCTGGGGCAGGGCACATGGCTCAGGCAGAGGGTCCCAGACCTGGGCTGCCCAGGGGAGATGTGTGTGGTGTGCCCTGAGCAGGGCGGCTGGCGGGAGGGCGTGCTGAGAGCTGGGTGGGCAGGGTCAGGTGGTGCCTCAGGGGCTGCAGGAAGGCTGTGCCCCCAGTGTCACCATGGGCAGCGGAGATGGAAAGGCAGAGGGAGAGGGAGGTGAGCAGGAGCCAGGCTGTGGCAGCCCAGCCTTGTCCTTGACCTCTTTACCCTTGGTGTCTGGTTTGGCAAACGTGTTCACGGCTGTGTAGGCTGATGCCAGGGTGCCCGTGTCCTGGTCCCTGAACCTGGAATGTGTCACCTTATGTGGCAAGAGGGCCTTTACAGATGCAACAGGCTCCTGAGGTGGGGAGAGGACCCTGGGTTATCTGGTGGGCTCAAGGTCATTGCAAGGTCCTTACAGCAGAGAAGCAGAGAGACAGAGCCGAGGTGGGAGGGCTGCCTGGCAGGAGGAGCAGGAAGGAAGCAGCCTTCCCTGGAGCCCCGGCCCTCCCACCCGCACCAGCAAGCTGGCCTGCCCAGCCCAGGGCCTGAAGGAGTGACCAGTGCTGCTGCCAGCCACCTCACCGCAGGCGCCCGGTTCTCCAGGTCAGCAGCAGAGAGGCCAGTGATGGGTAGATCACAGACAGGACAGTCGGGGATGGAGAGAGGGAAGATGGATAGATAGAACACACACACACTCACACACACTCTCTCACACTCACATTCACACTACACACTCACACACCCAGTCACACCTACACACACTCACACACATGCACTCACATATACTCACACACACTCACATACACACATTGAGGCATGCACACACACTTTCACATACACTCACACACTCACACTCTCTCATACTCACACTCACATTCACATACACACATTCACACACTTGCACTCTCGCACACACTCACACTCACACACACTCACATATACTCACACACACTCACACTCACATTCACATACACACATTCACACACTTGCACTCTCTCACACACTCACATATACTCACACACACTCACATATACTCACACACTCACACTCACATTCACATACACACATTCACACAACTCACACTCACATACACTCACACTCACATATACTAACACACTCACTCACATTCACATACACACATTCACTCACTCACACATACACTCTCACACACTCTCACACACTCTCACACTCTCTCACACACTCACACACACACACTCACACACTGTCCTCTCAGGACAGCCACAGTGGACCCACCCCGCCCTGCTCTTCTTTCTACAGGAAGCCTGGACCCTCATCTCCAGGAGCGGGCTCTGTCCCCTCTCTGGAGTCTGGAAGGGCCTGTGTCCCCTGTGGAACAGGTGACTCCTGAGGCTCAGTCCTAAAGGGTGACTGGATCTCTGCCTGGCGCTCTGGGCCAGCCTTGGGGCTCAGGCACCTTCTGTGGGGAAGTCCAGGTGCAAGTTCCTGCGCCACCTGGGAAGGTCCTGGCCACAGCAGCTCAGCCTCGCGCCCTGCAGGAGGCCTCCTGCACCCTGCCTGTCACAGGCTCCTCTCTGCTCCTGCAGGAGGACTCCAGCCTGAGGCTGCAGGTGTGGGGGTGCTTGGGCAGGACCCCGGCTTTGAGGCAGGAGGTCATCTCCTCACCCAGGCAACACTGTCGAGCAAAGGGCCCAGGTTAGGTGCCAGAGAGCTGGGCCTGGCCCAGGGCCTGGCAGGGATGCCAGTCAGCAAGTTGGGGCCTTCCTGTGTTGGGGTCCCAGGACTGTGGGCAGGGCGGCAGCCTCTGGAAGCAAAGGAGATTGTCCTTGGCCACCTGGGTGGGCCTCACCCAATCAGCAGAAGGCCATGTGAGCAGCACTGAGCTCCCAGGGGAAGAAATGAAAGAATCCTGCTTCCTGATAGCAGCGCCCGCACCTGCCGGCCTGCCCTGCAGATATCAGACTGGCCAGTCCAACCACCCTTGGAGTGTGCCTCCCAGGCCTGGAGTCCCACCCTCACGCAGTCCCTCCATCCAGCCTCACCATCGCAGGGTTCCCAGGGTCCTGCCCTCGGCCACGGCATGGGCAGCCCCGTGTGTTCACGTGGACCTGGCCATGCGGTCACACCCAGGAGGTTGGAGGCGGCCCAGCTTGCGCCCAGGAGGCAGACTGCATCAGACACCAAGCTGCCACCCACCTGGGAGCTCAGCAGGCAGGGCCTGGTGGGGCTCTGTAGGCCGGGGAGCCTACAGTGGACGTGTCTGCAGAGCGGCTGCCCTCCCCCAGGCCAGGAGAAAGGGGCTCTGCTGCCGCTTACCTCCTCCGGGCTCAGGGAGGAACTGGCCCTTCTAAGGCCCCTTTGTCCGGGCCAGGCCTCTAGCACCATCCCCCCTTGGACAACTCCAAGCCAGGCTGGCCAGGGGTTCACAGGAAACCCCTCCCCTCCGCCATCTCACATGACCTGGTTAGGAGATGACTGTCCCGTGCTCACCCCGGCATAGGGGGTAGGCAGCCTGAGGACACCATCATGGAATCTGCATGCTGCAGAGGACAGGTGTGCTGGACAGTGGCTGTTCTTCCCAGGTTCCTAGACAGGGCAGGACTGGAAGCCCCTTCTCAGCAGGGGACCCAAGCTGGGGACTGCTGTCTGCCTTTAATAAGAGACCTATTGCCCCCCACTATTCCAGGAGGGGTGTGGCCACTCACCTGAAGGGAAAGGGGGATAGGGAGGGAGGGGGAGAAGGGAAAGCGAGAGGGAGAAAGAAGGGGAGGGAGGGAGGAAGTGAGAGCAAGGGGGAGAGGAGGGAGGGAGAGAGGGAGAGGGAGGGAGAGAGGGAGAGGGAGGGAGAGAGGGAGGGGGAGGGAGAGGGAGAAGGAGGGAGAAAGAAGGGGAGGGAGGGAGGAAGTGAGAGCAAGGGTAGAGGAGGGAGGGAGAGAGGGAGAGGGAGGGAGAGAGGGAGAGGGAGGGAGCACGGCGGGGGGGCTAGAGAGTGGCCTGGAGAGAAGAGAGCCCTGGCTGGGGCTGCCAGCGGAGGGTGGAGCAGCCTCCTCTGTACTGGCCTAAAGCAGCCTAAGGACCCCCGCCCCCCAGCCTGTTTCCCTGGAGCCCCGCCCCCTGGCTCTGCCCACCCTTGTCCTTGCTGGCCTCTGAGTGCCCTGGAGGTCACCTGGCTGGTCCTGAGCCTCCAGCCGGCAGGGGCTTCCCCCTCAGACCCTCCTTCTTTGTCCCTCTTCTTGCCAGTGCCATCCCCGTGTCCTCCGCAGGAGCACAGGGTGGGCAGACCAGAGGGACCTGCCTTCTCTCCGTCCCACCCAGCCCTCCAGGATCAGGATGGGGCGCCTCTGAGGCTCCTTGTCCTGTCAGCCCTTGGGGACTTGCCAAGCTCCGGGAATCAAGGGGAGATTCTCACCTGAGCTCAGCAGCACCACATCTTGATCTCCCTCCTGCGCCAGATGGATCCCACTTCCTGCCAGGAGAGGAGGAGTGACAGGCGGCTGTGTCACCTGAGGGCACATCATTTGATGGGAAAGCGCCTTTCCAGGGTAGGAAGGGGGCGGAGTGCTGGGTTCCCTGGGCCACCGTCCCGAGGGGCCCTGACGGGGGTCTGCAGGTGCCCTGCTGGGCTGGGGCTGGGCTGGGAGGATCGTGGGGGTCCAGAAGCATGGCCTCCCTGGAGGAGCGAGAGCCAGAGCCGGCAGAGATCATCCCGGACAGGATCTCTAGGGGGTGTGGTATGGCCAGGATGCACCATGGGGTCTGTGGGGGCAGTGGCTGTCACTGTCACTGAGGGAGGTTCCTGGAACCCAAGGCCTCGACACGCCCAAGTTCATGACCAGGAAGACTGGGCTCCCGATGCACCACTCCAGCACGTGCCCTGCCCTGGCGGGGCACAGCGTCATAAAGAGTGTTTGCCAACAAACACTGGTCACTTCTGATGTTGTCACCCTGACAGCTGCAGTTCAAGGCCATTTCTGAATTGCCATCACGACCCACCTCAGCTGAGCAGTGTTCTGCTACAGAAGGACTGGGGGACATGAGGAGGTGTCTGAGCCTGCTGGAGTCTCACCTGCCTGTCCTGGACTGGCAGGGACTGAATGTCCACAGTCTGCAGACTCCAGGTCTTCAGGGGAGTGTCCAGGGCCACCTGGGCAGGTTCAGACAGGTCCCAGAACCGCCTTCTCAGAGGTGTCCCTGCCTGGGAGCCCAGCCCCCCACCCCTCCCCAGCGCCCCACAGCTTGCCTGCCAAGGGCTTCCACAGCACCAGTCCCCAACCTGCTAGGAACCCTCCTGGGGCCCTGGGTGGGGTAAGGAGGTCCTCCTGGCCCACAGCCCCTGCCCCGCCTCGCCCCTGACCTTCTAGTTCCGGTGCAGGTTGGGCTTGTCCTGGCTCCCTAGGAAGCTTGGCAGCCCCCCAGCCCCCTCCTGCTCAGCAGCTGCCCCCAGACCTGCGTGAGCCCCTGGCTGGGCCCATCCGGGGCCTCCTCTACAAGCACCCCCAGCGGCCAGGGCAGCTCTCACCCCTCCCTGTCCCCGCCCTCTGTCCACCCTTCCTTGTCCTCCTCCTCTTCCTCTCTGCCCCCTCGTGTTGCCTGGCATCCTGGGAACTCCAAATGTTTGGGGGGCATTCTGCAGTGGTGGGCTTTCTGGCTTTGGAGCAACTGGTCTTACGGCCTGGCACTTGTGCCCTGATCTCCTCAAAGCCCCATTCTGCAGCAGCCCCAGTGACAAAGAAAAGTTGGCGTCACCCACCTGGCAAGTGAGGGGGTGGCAGGCAGTCCCCAGGCCTCCCAGCCCTGAACCTCTTCTATTTATAACACAAGCCCTGCGTCGGCAATTGCTATTCAGCACAGGGGAGGCTGTGGAATAAAATTGTATAACAGAATTTATTCTCCCCAGTCCTCCTATTAAATCTCACCTCAGAACCTGCTCCCAGCCGGGGACCCCGCGTCTCCTCGGGGCAGGCTCACCAGGACTGCCACCTGCTCAGTGCCTCCAGCTGCCAACCCGGCTCACGGCTCACGTCTGCGCCAGGGAGTTCAGATCTGCCTGTCCTTAGGGCGGCCATGGGAAGCTGGGTCCCCAGCTCTGGCAGGAGGCTCCGAGGACCCTGGGGTTTTGGAGGCAGGAGGGGCACGGGCGGCAGCCGGGCATTGCAGGAAACTGGCCTGGGAAGTGGCCAGGGCCCTTCAAGGTCCCAGTCCTCCCACCCCACCCCGTCTACTCCCAGGGTGTGCCCTGGCCTGGGAGCTGCCCTCCTTGTCCCCCACGAGGCCCAGCCCCAGGGCCCTGGGCAGCTCGGGCAGCTCAGTGCTTCCCCGCCCTCCCCCAGCCCGGACCCCAGGGTCCTGGCCATCCAGGGTGGTCGTGGGCTTTGCCTCCGCAGGGTGGACAGCGGGTGTTCAGCAGATGCCTGGGCCAGAGCTAAGAGCCTGGCCTGCCTGGGGAGGTCCCTGGGGGGTCGGTCCCCCTACCCCCAGGGGAGGGGTTTCCACCGCCTTTCCCACAGGAACCAGTTTCTAGCCCCGGATAAGGCAGATCAGGCGGCCCGTGAGCTGGCCGGGGAAAGGCCACCAACTCCAGGCTTTTACAAACCAGCCCTTCCCTCTCAGAGGAGTGGGGCCATCCTTGCCCCAGAGGGGACGGTCTCTTGGGACGGGGGACTCTGCCAAGGCATCCATCCCCTCATCCAAACTGCGTCAGATCAACGGAGCAACCATTCTGCGGGCTGAGCCTGGAGGCTGGCCTCCCGGGCACCGAGCCCCCGCCTGCGGGGCTGGGCTGCGAGTGGGGCTGCTGCTCCTGGTGAGGCCTCTCTGAACTCTCCTAGACAGCCCTCCCGGGCCTGGAGCAGAGCCAGGCCTAAATGTAGATGAAGGAGCAGCCGCCCACACAGCCTGCGGCAGCCTCGGTGTTTTTAGAGTGATTTCCTCAGTAGGGAGGGGTGGGTGTGGAGGCCCGGACACTGCTCTGTGCCCACGTGCTGCGTCCTCGTGGGGCATGGCTGCTCACCACCCCACCCTGAACATGCAGAGCTGAGGTTCCGAGGGGTCCCCTTGCCAGGGAGGAATCCGAGGTGACCCAGGGTTTCCCGGCCCAGAGCCCTCCCCCTGGGACCAGCTCACTCGTCCCCACAGGGTTGGAGAGCCCCATCTTGCAACCATTCTGGAAGGGTCCTAACAGGCCACAGTGCCCAGTGTCCCTGTGCCACACAGCCTTGTCCCGAAGGCAAGATGGCCTTCAGAGGAGGGGGGCAGGTTGGCCAGGTGCCCGGGGGCTGCACAGCAGGCCTTGACCTACTCTGTCTGCACAGAATGTCATAAGCAGAGGGTGGGAAGAGTGTCCCAGGGCCCCCAAGCCGGGGACCTGGCGTCCCTCAGTGTGGCACTCTCCGAGGCACAGGTGCGGATAATGACGATGGTGGTGGAGACCTGGTCGTGCTGTGTGGTGAGGGGGCCACCAGGTCCCTTCTGCCCGCCAGGCCCCCAGAGCTCAGCTCCTCGTCCGTCCTGGCTCCTGGGTCTGGGCTGCCGGCTCGGCCTTCCCTCCCCTGGGTCTCGCTCACCAAGGGCTCCACCAAGCACCTGCAGCCCTGCGGGTGGCCAGGGATCCCACGGGTGGCAAGAAGCCAGGAGACTTTACTAGGAAAGTGGCACCAGGACAGGGCTCCGAGCAAGGGGCCAGGGATAGGGGGGAGGGCACGGTCCCGAGGCCGAGGCTGTGGGGCTCCTCTGTGGTCAGGGGCTCCACCGCCTCACATGGGTCAAGGTTACAACCCCCTTAGGCCAATGTGACGCCAGGCAGGAGCCAGGCAACGTCACTCGGTGACAGCCCCTGAGACGTGAGGCAGGGCTGGAGGCTCACCTGGGGACGGAGCCCGTGCCTGGAGGCTGGCTGAGGCTGGCCTCCCGGGGCACCAAGCCCCCCAGCAGGGCCTTGCCCAGTTTGAGTCCTTCAGTACTAGCTTATGAGGTGGCCTGGGGTGGTGAGCACCAACCCCGAATGTCCTTTGACTTTGTCCCTTTCTCTGTCACCACTAGACTCCTGGGGGATGCCCTGTGGGGTCGGCTGTTGAAGGTCCCCTGCTCTAGATATGGGTCTGTGTTCCCTGTCTTGTCCCTCTGGGGCAGCTCCAGGTACTGGAGCTGAGGAGTCACGGGTGACTGGCTGAGGGGGTCTGAGGCCAGGTCACCTGCAGGTAAGGCTTCTTCTCTCTACCTGCCGCCCTACCCTCCCGTCTTGCCAGCCCTAGGCTGCAAGGACAGCTCATCTGACTCCCCCTGCATCCCCTGTGGGCTCTTCCAGAACTCCTGAGCCAAGGGTGACCAGGGCGGGGTCAGACCCTGAAGCCTGTGTGTCTGAGGACCGGGCCGGGGAGGGCCACGGGAGGGTCACGTCCGTCTCCGTCCCCCAGGCCTCCCCTCGGCACCTTAGCCCTGTCTCCCCTGAGAGGTGACTCTTTCTCTTGTGAGAGGCACAGGCAGGAGCTGCTCCGGGTTCAGGGGGATCTAGGCGTCTTCCAGGAGGCCGCAGTGAGGTCCCCCTGCCCAGCCACAGTGGCCCTGCTCTCAGCCCGGGAGGGCCTGGGGAGCCCGGCAGGCAGAGGAGGCTGAACCCGGTTGTGCACCTGGGAAAGTGGGCCATGGGCCTGCGAGGCTGGGGGAGACGCCGCCATTCCAGGCTTGGGTGGACAGAGCCACGCTCGGGACACACTGAGGACAGAGGGCTACAGGCCTCGAGGCAGGTGGGGTTTCTTAACTGGACGGGCTGGTGGGCGAGGGGCTGGGGAGGCAGCCAGTGTGGCCTGGTGGCTTAGAGTTCAAGGAGGGAGGGACGGCAGATCCCTCTGGGTGGCTCATCCCCCAGAGCAGGGGCGCTCTGCAGGGGCTGGCTGGCCTGGCCAGTAGACCCCATCTGCATGGCCACATGGTCTCTGGGGGAAGGCAGCCCCGCCCTGTCAGGAAGACTGTCCCAGTAGCTGGTGCTTGTGCGGCTGTCGTGGGACAGGCTTGGGCCATCTATCGGCTGACACCTGCCCTGCAGAGTGGACCTTGCTCCTCAGGCTGCTCTCAGGAGAGCTAAGCCCGGCCCTCTTCCCTGCTGGGGGACCCAGGGACTTCGGTGAGCCACCTCCAGGCTCGGGCTTGTCCCACAGGCACATCTGGGTGGCTCTCTTCCCTCCCCCAAGGGTCTTCAAGCACCTACTGTCCTTGTGAGTGTCAAAGCCAAGTCAGGGCTGTGACCAGGTCTGCTGATGAGGAGTTGGGACCACCGTGAGCAGTCCTCTGGGAGCCTTGTAGGCATGGGGTCTCGGCCCCGCCGGGAGCTCCTTTCCCACTTGTGACCCCTGCTGAGCTGGACCGTCCTGACCTGGCCTTGCCCCCATCCCCAAAGACAGCAAAGTGAGGGATGATTCCGCGGACGCTGGCCGGGTGGAGGGCGGGGGAAGATTAATTAGTTCTCGTTAGCCCGGGAGTCAATTTGCAGGCCTTCAATGAGAGCTCCATAAGAGAAGGTTGTTGACAAATCGGAGGAGACTCAAACCCAACAGCGCAGCTCTTGAGGGACAGAGTGAGGACAGGTGCAGGAAGAGCCCACTCTGCGGCTCCCTTGCCAGGTGGGGCTCGTGAACCCCAGCAACCCACCACCTCGGCCCCGTCACGCCGCAGCTCCTGCTGCTGAAACCACTGTGCTCCGGTTCTGAAGATGGACATGCGAAGCTCCTGGAGGTCCCTGAACTGGACCCAGGGCACATGGTGGGGACAGTGGAGTCAGGGCTAGATGTCCCCTCCCCATCCCCCACCCCATTGCCTGGGCCTCTCTGGGACAGGGCTACTTGCGTTGGGGCCCAGGGCCTTCTGTTCTGGGCCTCCAGACCCTTATCCCACCATAAGGAGGCCAGCAAAGACCCCCAGACCTGACAGAAAGTCTAGGTCAGTGCCTGGACTCTGCACCCTGAGCCTGGGCTTGGGTGTGCCCTGGTGTCCCGCCTTCTGCAGGGTGCTCAGCGCAGGACAGCTGGTCAGTGCATGGCTCTGGACTCAGTTTTACCCTCTGAGAACTGGAAGAATATCCCACTGTCCACCAACCCTCCCCTCCTGGGCTGTCCGTCCAGAGCCTGGGGGACTGGGAGGCCGCCCACACCGGGCTTGGAAAGTGCAAGGAGTTCCCAGCTGACAGCAAGGGGTGAGGGTGGCCCTGGCCAAGGCCCTGGGGATGCAGAGGAAGGGCTGGGCCCTGCTGGTGGGAGGGGGTGCTCAGGGCCCCGTGTGAGGGGTGCTCAGGGACCGTGGGCAGGGCCTGGGAGCCTCCACCCCATGAGCGCCTAGGGGGCAGGTTAGCGCCTGGCCTCCTGGTGGCCCGCCAATCCCCCGGGGCCGCGGGCCAGCCCTACCCTGCCACCCTGCAGAGCTGTCTGGCCTGGTGTGAAAATGAAGATTGATCATGGCGGAAGGCAGCCGGCTCTGCGGAGCGGCCGGGAGTTGCAGAAATACAGAGCTTCATTATTATTTTAAGTGTTACTCAGCTGCTTTATTGAATTCTCCAAGTCAGGAAAAATTCTGGCGAGATAAGAAGTTGACATTTTCAGAAGCAGCAACGGGAGCCGTGCGGGCGGCGAGGACAGAGCGCCGCGCCTGCTTGGCATGAGAAGGCTCAGCCTCCGCCACCACCCACGCCACCTCGCGCTCATGCTGACTCAGGACCACGGGCCCGGCCGCCAGGGACCGCGCTCCCTGGCTCCCTACCCCCACCCATCTGCCTTTCTTCTTTGAACACCTACTATGTGCCAGGCTAGAGGGCAGACTGGCCCAGGACACCACCTCTCTCTGGCTTAGTCTCAGTGCAGTAGTGGG